AATTCGGTCCGTTTGGCCATACGGAAAAATAATGTACGCTCCCAGCAAACAGGGAGAACAACCTAGCATCGAAGTTTCAAAAGAATTCGTCATGAGCCCGAATAAACTTCACCTGGAAGCTTCTCTGGATAAAGCTGTGAGCATGAAAATTTATTATTATTATTATTATTATTATTATTCTTTCATTATTATTATTATTATTATCGTAATGCTTTGTGGTATTTGTTTTTTGTCAGTTGTATCATCACGGGGAAAACATAGCCGTGAACGTACACATTGCCAACAATTCCAATAGAACGGTTAAAAAAATCAAAGTGTCCGTTAGACAATTTGCAGACATATGTCTTTTTTCAACGGCTCAGTATAAATGCACGGTTGCGGAAACGGAAAGCGAGTAAGTAGATTTTCTTTTATTCCCTCCCCCCTTTTCCCTCCTCCCTCCCTCCCCTTTCCTCGCTCCCACCCCTGCCTTCGTAGCGCGCGAATAAAAAATTTAATGTGTTACAGTTGAAATGAAATTAGAAAACGTCGGAAATTTTACTGCTAATATAATGATGATGATGATGACGACGAATGACGACTACGACGATAATGATGATAATAATAATAATTTTATTTTTTCCAGAGTATTTTTTAAACGTAACGGTTTTTCAAAAAAAAAAAAAAAAATTTGGAACTTGGATTTGAATTATTATGGAAAAACCTGACGGAAAAAAAATTTTTTTTTTTTTTTTTTTTTTGATTAATTTCCGGTTTATTTTTAATTTTCTCTCTCTCTCTTTCTCTTTCTCTCTCTCTCTCTCTCTCTCTCTCTCTCTCTCTCTCTCTCTCTCTCTCTCTCTCTCTCTCTCTCTTTCTCACTTTCTCTTTCTTTCTCTTTCTTTCTCTCTCTACGCGTTTGCATAACAAATCCGAGTTCCAAAAAAAAAAAAAAAAAAATGTATGAATTATTTTTATTTGATAATTCCAGGTTTCAAGTCCACGAAAGACAATTTTTTTTTTTTTTGTTTTATTTTGTATCTCTCTCTCTTTCTTTATCTCTTTCTCTTTCTTTTTCTCTTTCTTTGTCTTTTTTTAAGCTAGAATACTAATAGTGTTTCATTTTAGTGCCGGATGTCCCGTCGGACCTGGATTCACGCTTTCGAAAGTTTATTCTATACGTCCGAGCCTTGAAAATAACAAAGATAAAAGAGGATTAGCTCTAGATGGTCAACTTAAACACGAAGACACGAATCTTGCTTCGAGCACAATGT